AATTAACAACCAAAACCTGAGAGCAGGAGATTTTCAGAAACACTGCCAGGAGCTCTGCAGCACACTGTGGGCACTCAGAGACACCTGGAGGGACCCATCCATGTCCCAAGGGAGCACAGGACTGGTCCCACCATCCCATCACATCTTACCAGGCACAGGGCTTTGCCCATGACGGAGATTCTTCCCCACCAGGGGAAGGGGCTTGCTTAGCTCAAACTCTGGCGTGTCTGCCATGAAACCTTCCCCTTCTCCATGCCAGATGGGTTTCTTCATAATGTGGATGGTGCCCAGGCCCATCAGCCCAACTCTCTGGAAACAAAAGCAAGCAATCAGGGGGCAAAGGGTGATCTGTGGCCTTTCCATCCCTGCAGCTCCAAGGGCTGAGATGGAGGCCCCAGGAAAGCTTTGGAGGAGAGCCTTTCACTCCAAATGGTTCCTCACTCCCTCCTCTGTAGGCTGCAAGACATGTGGGAGAAACTCCCAGAGCCCAAGGAGTGCAGGAAGGCCCAGGAGGGCTGGAAAAGAGGGTGTCCCTCCTTCCCAGACATCCTGGGGAGGACTCCAAAGTGAAAATCCAATGTTCTTCTACTCAAGCACCACTTGGCTTCTTGCCTGCGCTCACAAAGGGTCTGTGACTAAAATGCAGGGTCTGCCTGGGACACTTCTGCCCCCAAGGCTGGTGAGGGCCCCAGAGGATGGGGAAGGATCAGGAAAACCCCATGGTCTGAGTGGGGACCATGAGGAAGCCAGCCCCACCTTCTTCAGCAGCAGGTCCTGGCGACAGCACTCAGACACACAATCCCAAATTTTAATGATTTCTGTCAGAAGAAGAGAAAGAGCCCAGCAGAAGTTATGAAGTTCATCGTCCTCCCTTCACTTTCCCAATGTCAGATCCCCTCCTCCAAAGGGACCCTCTCCCTGGGCAGAGCCACCAGCACATTCCCAGCCCCAGGGGCAGGAGGATGCCAGGCCTTACCATCCTTGTGGAAGTACACCAGATCTGGAGACAGAGCAAGGAAGAAGCCAGAGAAAAGCTGTGTCGTGGCTGCGGGTCCTCCTGCCTGGCCTTTTTCTTTCTTCCTCTCCATCCCACCATGGCCTTAGGGTGGGAGGCCTGGTGGGACAATGGGGCACCCCAGCTGGGCTGGCCTCTGACCCTCAGGGTGTTCTGGTTCCACGGAGGCAGAATGTCCCATTGTGACCTCACGTGTGTCACCAAGAGCCCTTCCAAGGAGTCTCTCACAGCCACTGCTGAGGTGGCTGGAAAATCAGATGGAAATTGGTTTAGAATGATTTACACAGATCCTGTTACACAGACAACTGCTGTGTGAGTTAGGAATTTGGCAGAAAACAAAGAGAATCACAGAATAATGAGGTTGGAAGAGACCTCCAAGATCACCAAGTCCAACCCATGCCCTAACACCTCAACCAGACTCTAGCACCAAGTGCCATATACAGTCTTTTTTTAAACACATCCAGAGATGGTGATTCTACCCCTCCCTGGCAAGAGCATTCCAGTACTTTATTATTCTTTTGGTTATTTTTAACACCCTCATCATTTCTCCCAGATGTTGGGCAAAAATATCACCAATACTTTATTAACCATGAGAGGAACAGTGGATTTGTCTTTACAAACCAGCTGTGGGGCTGCTGGTAGATAAAACCAGCACTGGGGGATAAAACAAATAATGGGAAGGATTTCACTGATTGATGAATGGAAAAAGATATTTGCTTTTACAAATAAACTTTAGGTTTGCTGATAAATGAAATTAGACATCGAGAGATGAAAGAAACAATGGAGAAGAAAAACCCCTAAATTCCATAAGAATTAAAAATGAAAAGGGAGGGTTGTATATTAGAGGGAAATCTTCGGGATCAAGTGTTTTGAGAGGTCTGTACCTCTCAAGTACCTCAGAAATGGGGAAAGAGAGAAGGGAAATATGGTTGGGAAACTGGGATAAAAAGGAGGCTGCATCCTCCAAAAACTGGAGAGATCCCAGGGGAATGCCCCATGGCCTCTCCCTTTATTGGAATAAAGCCAAAAAGGGACTCCTCTGTCTCCTTTTTGGACATAAACCTCTGGTGTTTCTGGATTAATTTTCCTGACAACCACAACTGTGGGCAGGATCATGGTCAAACCTCCTGTTCCCTGTGCTCCCAGTGTCCAGAATATTCCTTGGTGGGAGCTGTTGGTCATCAGGCAGAAGAACAATGCCCTGCTCCATGTTCCTCTCAATTCCCCATCAACACAAACCCCAGGATTTCCCTCTGGTTCTGTACCTGCACCATGGCCCCTGCCACAGTTGGAAATTTGCATTTTCTTCCCTGTTTTGTGCCTCCAGCACTGGGGAGGTCCCACCTTGAGTCCTATGTTTGTTTTGGGCCCCTGGAGGGTTGTGGAAAATTGCCCACCTTGTGTGGGCACAGAGCTGCTGTGGGGTGAGGGAGAACTGAGGGAGCTGCTCCAAGGCATCTCTGAGGTGGGATAACCCAGGCTCTTGTGTTAATCCATCCCTTGGAGTGGATGAAAGGACATTGAATGATTGGTGTTTACACACACAGACACAAACATATATATTTTTTATATATGTCTTATTTATTTTAACACTTTGTTTGCAATGGAAATCACCTATGTAGCCATTTTACTTATTTTCTTTAGAAATACACCAATATAAAAGTATAAAAATAACACTTTAGAAAATACATGAGGGAAAGAAACAAAGAAAAAGGAAGGATCAGAGTAGAGAGTGGAGAGGAAAGGTCTCACCACCCATGGAAGCAGTGACAAGACTTGGCTATTGCAATTTCAGTGTCCACAGTCAAAGTGATGGTCACAGTCTGGATCCATCAGGGGTGGAAGCTCCAAAAATTCAAAGTTCAGTGGGTTAGTTCAGGTTCAGTGGGAACAGCCAGGTACCTTCCCTGGGTCAGGAGTTTGTAACACCGGGGTTGTGCCCAGTGCTCAGCAATGAGTCTGTGCTCCCTGCAGGCTCTCTGATGGCTTGTGCCCCTTCTAAAACCTGACTCTGCCTCTCCCTGAGTGTGGCTGAGCCAGTCCTGCCCCCTCACAGGGGATGAAACCCCCCAGCCCCTCCATGGGAGTGCTCCTGATGCTCCCCTGTGGCCCAAGGCACAGCCAGGGGGGTGAGGGTGCACAGCTGCCCCAGGTACTGCTCACACACTGCCCAGGGACACCCCAAATCCCATGGAGAGGTTCTGTGCACCCCAAAAGGCTCCTGGAGGGCTCTGGGGAGCCCAAACGGGCACAGCCAGGGGTTGGGGGCACCCAAAGGCTGTGTTGGGGTCTGGGCATGGCACAAAACAAACCAAGGGGTGGGGATACCCCCCAAAATGGAGACCAGGGCTTGGGATATCCTCTGAGGGACAGCCAGGGTGCAGAGGGGGCACACTGAGGGGTCCAGAGCTCCCTGAACACACAGGGAAGCCCAGGGAGCACAGACAGGCCCACGGAGATGCCCAGCCACGCTCTGCTCCCACCTGGTCTGCACTTCTGACCCTGCTGTTCCCTCTTGGCACCCTCAGACTCTCTGCACTCCCTGTTTGGCATGGCCTGGTCCCTCTCACTGTCACCCAAGCATCCTCAGAGACCATCTATTCCAGAGACCATTTCCCTTCCTTTTCCTTGAAATTTCCTTGAAATTTCCTTGAAATTTCCTTCCCTTGAAATTTCCTTCCCTTCCCTTCCCAAATCTTCCCTTCCCAAACCTTCCCTTCCCTCTCCTGCCCCTATTCCTTTTCCCTTTGCCCTCCCATCTCCCCCTCTGTCATTTCTGACCCCTCTGCCCATCACATCCTGCCCCCAGAGCTTCTCCTTCCTCCCATCTTCCTTCCCCACACATTCCCATCCCCTCCCCAGTGCTCAGAGATCCTGTTCACCTCTGCACAGAGCAAAGGGAAAAGGGGAATGACAGTGTGGGGGCATGGGGTAAAAAGGAATTTCTGCAAGTTTTATTTATAAAATTTATAGGTTTGGACTGGACAGGGGATTAGGGTTGAGGGAAGACACCCTTCACCCCACCCCTCTAGCACTGTACAGAGTTTATTTACAAATTCCAGCCTCCAGTGGATTTGGGATCACACACACATTTACAGGTGGGCAAGTTAAAAAAAAAAACCAAAACCACAAAACTGTGGAATCATTTAGTTGGAACACATCCCAGCAATCATGGCACAGTCCATCTGTCCATTTGGCAATTCTCTTTGCAGGCTCTGCTGTCCCATGGCTCCAGGAGCCCAGATCCTGCAGGTGAGGTCAGGCTGCACAAACATCCCCAGCTCAGAAGCTCTGGGAGCCCAGGCTGTGGCTCTGGTCAGGCTGCACAAACATCCCCAGCTCAGAAGCTCTGGGAGCCCAGGCTGTGGCTCTGCTCCTGCAGAGGGGAGGCTGAGGGGGCCGTGCTGTCCCCAGGAGAGGCCACGTTCAGGTACCCAATCTCTGAGGGCTGTGAGGGGGACAGGCAGAAGGAGGAATCCTGGCTCTCAGCCTCTCCCTCAGGCTTTGTGCTCTGCAGGGCCTTCAGGGCGCCCAGGGGCTCTGGGAGATCTCGGGGTGGGAAGCTGGAAACAAATTTTTCATTTTCTGTCATTCTGTGCAGTCTGGGTGACCCCTACCCAACAGCTCTGAGCAGCACAGACCAATGTGTGTGCTCTTCTCTTGGAGTAATTTTCCTAACAGGTCCAGAACCTGCCTGGACCATCCTCCACCCCAACAGTGCCTGGGGCTGTCACCAACCCCCAGAGCTGCATCTCCAGAGCTGAATGTCCCTCTGCCTTCCCCTGGCATGGATTGGAATGGAAGAACACACCCCAGAGCGATGTGGGACACAGCTCTGGCCACACAAGGACTCCCAAGTGTCACCACCTCTTGTATAAACAGTCTTCCAAAGGCCCTGAGCACCAAGATTCCTAAATCCCACAGTGCTCCCCAAAATATTCTGAAAATTGGAGTTCTCCATCCCATCATATGACTGGTTTCAATACCATTCTAATGCCATTTTAATACCATTTCAATGCCATTTTAATACCATTTCAATACCAATCTAATGCCATTTTATTTTCCTTAAAACTGGACTTCTCCATCCCATCAGCTGACTGGTTTCAATCCCCTTTTAAATGCCATTTTAATACTATTTTCCCTAAGATTGGACTTCTCCATCCCATCAGCTGACTGGTTT